ACCGGTTTTACGTACCCGAAATCGATGTTTGACTGCGTCGCCCCCGTGGTTTTTGAAGACTGGTTTTTAGCGGTCGAAAGAACTTCGCGTGTAAACGGGCTCTGATTACCAAGTGTGAGGATCTAGGATCGAGCTCAGAAAAGAGAATGAGAATTGAGTCGAATTGAATGATCACCTGGGTACAACACGAGGCTATATATAGGCTTGACACAAGGCCCCGTAACCAGGTGTTACGCGAAGGTTCCGCGGGCCGCGTAGCGTCCCGAACGGATCCTTACCGAATTCGGTAGAAGGCAATTCGGTGGTAACCGAAAAGGCCAGAATTTGGTGCACGCAACCTAGCTCGGTGCTATAACTATAATAAAATATAGGAAAGCACCTAGCCTAGGAAATCAAACAATTCATGCATGCATATGATTATCCTATGCTAGAAATAGCATGATAAAGTAAAGGCAAGCAAGCATAGCTGGCATAAGCCGTCGTACTCTCACAGGGACGAACCGACGAACATAATTAACGAACCCTAAAAAACTCTGCAGTTCCGTGATGTTCGTCGGGGGACGCCACGCTTTTACCGTATCCAGCTTCTTTGGGTCGATTTCAACTCCAGCCTCCGAAATAACGTGCCCCAAAAATTCTAGTCTGTCCCGGAAAAACTCGCACTTAGAGCCCGTGGTCAGTAACCGATGTTCCTCTAAAACTTTAAATACTGCTTCGAGATCCGCTAAATGCTACTGCTTGTCGCGACTGTAGACGAGGATGTCGTCGAGGTAAACTATCACGCATTTATATAAGTGTGGCCTAAACGCCTCGTTCATGGTCATCTGAAATGTTGCGGGCGCGTTGGTCAGCCCGAAAGGTATCACCGTGTACTCAAATGACCCGTACCTAGTCCTAAATGCTGTCTTGGCGCAGTCCGATGGTTCGACCCGAATCTGACGGTAACCCCCCCGTAAGTTTATTTTCGAAAACACCCGTGCTGTTCGCAGTTGGTCGATCAGTTCGCCGGCGCGGGGAATGGGGTACCGCGACTTGACTGTTACCCTAATGAGCGCTCGGTAATCAATGCACATGCGAAACCCTCTGTCTTTTTTCGGTGTGAACAGTATCGGTGCGGCGAACGGTGACGAACTTGGTCGAATAAACTGCTTCTCTAACAAATAATCTAACTGCTTCCTCAGTTCGTCGAGCTCGGGCTGTGTTAGTCTGAACTGGCGCTGTACAGTTGGTTGTGCCCCCGGTTCTAACTCGATCCTATGATCATGCGCCCGCTGAGGTGGCAGTCCTTCCGGTAAGTCGTCTGGAAAAATCCCCGGGTACCATTTCAACAGTTCCTGTAGTTCGGGTGGTACCGCTGCCAACAGTTTCTGAAAATCGCTCGGCTGCCCCGCTTCTCCTACTAATGCTATATCTACTGCGTACACGTCACCTCCAGCGGCGACAACCCGTTTCATCGTGATGGCGTTGACGTGGACCGTTGAAGACTCGGGCGACTGCCAGCGAGGTAGCATGACCCAGTTACCGCTACTTCGCACAGTGCAGTTACCCGTCGTCCAGTCGATTCGTCGGTTGTACCGTCGTAGCCAATCACGTCCCAGTAAAACATCATGCCCATCCAATGTCGTCGCGAGCATTTCCTGTGTAAACCCGGTGTTTCCCCCGCAGCGAACTTTTACTCTCTCCACCTTCTCCCGTATGGCCAGCGGCGTGCCGTCAACTAAGCCTGCGTCGATCTCAGGTAAGAAGCGACTAAGTGTCAGTTGTAATTTTCGCGCAGTTGCGGTATTAACTAAACTGTGGCTTGCTCCTCCGTCAACAAAAATCTTCACTACTGCTCCCTGTACTTTCCCGTGGATCAGTACTGGGCAATCCGCCGCTGTACCCTCCTTATTTATCCGAGCCCGATCGATGGCGTGAATCGGTACTGTGACTCGGTGAGGGTCGGTGCGGTTGGGCGAGCAGGCAGTCTCGTCAGTAGTTGGCCCAACTTCTACTGACTGCCGACGTTTCCCTGCCTCTGAGACTCCCTCCCCTGCTCTGCTCCGCGGCGCCTTAGCTCCTCTGGGCATTCGCTCTTGCGATGGCCCGGCCTGTTGCAAGCAAAGCAGCGCCCCTTAAACGGTGCGGCAGCTGCATTCGTTGCAACAGCGTTTACAGTGGCGTGCTCGATCGGTCCCCAAGGACGATGTCCGTAGTAGGACCCTGGTCTCGGTCGGCGTAGAATGTCGATTTTCTCGGCGAGCGCGAGAATCTCGTTGAAGTTTGAGAGTCCGCGCAGCATGATTTCGTGCGAGATATCCGGCTTCAGCCCTCCAACGTAACGGTCCGCCCGCTCCGCTTCGTGCATGTAGTGGACCTGCTCGCAAAGTGCGAGAAAACCGCTCGTGTAATCTTGAACCGACCTGAGCTGTCGCCAAGTGCGCAATCTCTGACGCGCCGAAATAGAAGCCGCGATCGGCTCGAAGCGCGCCCGAAGCCCTGCGCACCACGCATCCCACGTGCTGTATTGGGCAGTCTCGCAGAATGAACTCCAAGTGACAGCTGGACACGTGGGCCCTTCCTCTTGCGACGGTGGCTCGTAGGCGCGTGGCGACATCACAATGACTCGCCACCAGTCCATGGCGGGGCCCCTTAACAGCGAAACGGCATACCGAATCTTCGATGCGTCCGACTCGACGTAATTCGCGTCGAAGAAGACGTTCATCGTGAAAACCCACGATTAAACCGTCGGACCTCCACGCTGGCTCGGGTCGATACAGGGAGTGCGTTGCGGCTTGAGTGGCATTGGTGCCATGATGGCCTGTTCGCCACTTGTCGCCACGAACTCCACGTGCCGACGGGCTTCGCGAGGCTCCCGCGGGCTTGGCGCGCCCCTGTTTCCTCCCATGCCAGGCATTGGTTGGGCGGCGCTATCACTGGCTGCGCCCGAGCGCTGTCCCACACTGTCGTGTTGTGATGGTGTCCCGAACGAGATGACGATTGGCTCGTCCGATTGTGCAGGTGCATTTGTTGGTGCGTGTGGTGCTGCTGGAGTGTTCACCGTTGATTGCTGATGCGCGGAGTCACGTTCCGCTGTGTGCGTCGCAATTTCGAGCGCCGAATCTTTGAGTTGGCGCACTAGACGGTCGAGCTGCTCCTGCGTCAATGTGGCGAGCGTGAATTCAGCCATGGCGGGGGTGTCGGGCGAGCTCAGCGAGAGCCTCAGTCGTGGCCGTGCGTGCTTACGAGAGAGCACTACGAGCGGCGGTGCTGTGTCACTCAGAGACGTCTACCCCCCCCAAAAAATGAGATAGCGGGGAAGCGAAGGTGTGGGTGCGGTCCGAGAAGAGATCATAGGCTCTGAATACCAAGTGTTACTGTCAAACTTATATGCTATAGTCTGTGTAGGCTGTAGTGGGGTAGCTCATATGGGGTACAACACTTTAGGGTTTCCTACTTGTACTCCTCATGCTGCTCAATGCAATCATTCCTCATTTCTCACATGGTATAGAGCAGGTTCCCTAGTGGGAACGTTTCCTAGGGCCCACCACTGAAATTGTTTTCCTGCCCGGAGCGCGTTTCCCTCCTGCCCGAGTCGCGCCCCGTGTGCCCTCCCTCCCGTCGCGTCCCTAGCCCTTAGCGGCCCGTCGCGCCCTCCTCAGGCCCCTTTGCGGCCCCTTTCGCGGCCCCTCACGGCCCCTCTCACGGCCCCGTCGTCGCTCCTCTAGGCCCGTCGCCGCCCCTTTGCGGCCCCGTTGCCGCCCTTAGCGGCCCCGTCGCCGCCCCTCTAGGCCCCTCGCGGCCCCCTTCGCGGCCTCGTCGCCGCCCCTCTAGGCTCCTCACGGCCCCTTCGCGGCCCCGTCGCCGCCTCTCTAGGCCCCGTCGCCGCCTCTCCAGGCCCCTAGCGGCCCCTTCGCGGCCCCGTCGCCGCCCCTTACGGCCCCGTAGCCGCCCCTTGTGGCCCCGTCGTCGCCTCCTCTAGGCCCCTTACGGCCCCTTTGCGACCCGGTCGCCGCCCCTAGCGGCCCCGTCGCCGCCCCTGGAGGCCCCGTCGCCGCCCCTTCGCGGCCACCTCGCCGCCCTAAGCAGCCCCGTCACCGACCCTAGCGGCCCTGTAGCCGCCCCTAGCGGCCCCGTCGCCGCTCTTCACGGCCCCGTCGCCGCCCCTAGCGGCCCCGTCGCCGCTCTTCACGGCCCCGTTGCCGCCTCTACCGGCCCCTTCACCGCTGAGCCGCCCAGCAGCTGAGTAGCCAAGCCACCACGCCGCCAGCAGCCCAGCAGCCGAGGCGCCCGAGAGCCAAGCCGTCGAGCCGCCCAGCAGCCGAGCCGCCGAGCCGCCGCGCCGTCCAGCAACCGAGCCGCCGAGCCGCCCAGCAGCCGAGCCGCCCCATCGCCGAGCCGCCGTGCCGCCCAGCAGCCAAGCCGCCGAGCCGCCCAGCAGCCGAGCCGCCGAGCCGCCCAGCAGCCGAGCCGCCACTGTTCCTTCCGGCGCGCCCCGGCCCTACTTCCTTGGACTGGTGAGCTCACTCCCTACTAGACCACTGCAGTCATGGCTACCCCCAGTGTCCTTACCTTTGATACTGAGGGTCGTGCTGTTGACTTTGAGGTCTGGGTCGATGACCTCCAGCTGTTCTTATAGTGCGATAGGGGAGACGGACTCTCCCTGTTCGATCTCACCTCTAGTGTCTCTCCTGCCCCGCCTGCTACTGCTGACAACACTGTTCGCTCCCAGTGGGCCACGCGCGATGCTGCTGCATGTCTTCCTGTGCGTCGCCACTTACCGACCACTGAGCGTGCGCACTTTAGCCAGTACAAGAGTGCTAAGACCTTGTACGACGCTGTAGTTGCACGCTACTCTTCCCCTGCCACTGCTGCGCTTAGCCGCCTCATGCTACCGTACCTGTTCCCTGACCTTGCTGCCTTTCCCACAGTCGCTGACCTCATTACGCACCTTCGCACTAGTGACACTCGCTACCGCGCTGCACTTCCTGCTGAGTTCTGCGCGAAGAACCCCCCCCCCCATGTACATCACCCTCTACTACATAGTCACCCGGCTCCCTGACTCCCTTCGCTTAGTCAGGGACCACTTCCTCTCAGTTTGCCCCACCACACTCACCGTTGACCTCCTCGAGGAGCGCCTCCTAGCAGCAGAGAAGAGCATAGTCGCTGTAGGAGCCTCTCGTGGTGACCCTCGCACCCCCGTCTTTCAGGGGTGTTCTCCCTCCCCCCTCTTGCCCTCTGTTGCTTCTGCTGCTGCGGCCGACCTCGTTGGCTTCGAGTCGGTTGGCGCTGCGTCTGCCCCTAGCGGGAAACGCCGCACCGGCAAGGGCAAGGGGGGCAAGGGCGCTGGGGGGGCTAGTGGGGGCGGTGGAGGTGGTGGTAGAGGCAGTGGAGGGGGTGGGGGTGGTGGTGGGAGTGGTGGCGGGGGTGGAGGTGTCGGTGGCAGCAGTTACGAGTGCAATTGAGTGAACGAACGAAAATTGCACTATCGAAGCAAGAGTACAATGAGCGAAGGCATGAGCGAAGAATATATAGCGAAACTACAATGGTAACGGTAATGGACAGTGGTTGTCGCGCTACGGGCCTGGGACTGAGGTTGGGAAAAGTGTCGAAGCGGAGGCCCGGAGCGCGGGTTACCCGCCGAGCCGTGAGGTCGGGGTGCGACGTGCGAAGGTGGCGGGCGGATTGTCGATGCGATGATTGCGAGTGGTAACGGTGCTGACTGTGGTGCTATAGTGATGTACGCGTTGAACAGGGATGCGAAAGAGATTTTCCTTAAAAACAGCAACAGTACACAGTTTGTATAGCTAAACCTAATTGGGCTGTACCCCATTAGAAGTGCCCCACTACAGCCTAGAGCATATAAATGCATAATTCTGACAATGCACTCTATAGAGAACGGTGTAAAACGGTATATAAAAGTAAAATTGCTTTTGTATGAGATTGAGTACGGCAAATGTGCTTACATGGTATGCTCTTGGACCATTTTGGACGCATCGATGTCATTGTGGCTGGCATGTTCATGTGGCGATTGTCAGTGTCGCAAGAATGAAGGTGTAACGACCTTTAAAGAGCAATAATAAATATACTGAAAGTAAAACACTGGAACTCTAGCCCCCCTTTGATATGGAGAAATTGAATGTGAAGCCTTGTTTGAAAGATAATAGAAGGATGTTGGAGGAAAACAAGATGATAATCTAATATTGAACTATCGAATCGAACTGGTTGCTGTATGTTTACTTATGAAGTGTAACAAGTTGTTTGACGAGTCGCTCATAACGGTGTCACTACATAGCACAACAACCCATTCCACCGTTTTCGACGGTTTCACAGTCTGCAGAGGGGCTTGGTGTGAGGGGTGGGTACGGGGATGTAGAATCTGTGGGCCTTTCTGGCGTTTAGCGCGCAGATGGATCTGATGAGCAGGTTACGGCGGAGCAACAGCAGCGCTAACCTGGTTGAAGCTCCGCCACCCTAGCCTCCCTTCCGCCCTGCCACGAGACCGTGCAGATTACTGTATTGTGCATAACCTGCTTGCTGCCAGAAATCACCTGACCAAGCGAAATGTTTTTCTGTCGCCGACATTTCACCTCCAGCAACAGTCCACGAATTTCTGCACCTTGTTGATGGTTTTGAAGATCCTTCGCTTTTGGGAACAGACCGTCCAAGCCCTGCTCGTCAGGAAGTTCGGAGTTTCCCAAATTTAGCGTGGATATCTCTTACCACTCTGGACCAAACAGAACCGTGAGTTGCGCTTTGGAAACAGATCAACCAGCCAGCCAAGTAACGAGATATTTTGGATAACAGCTGCCCGTCGCTAGCTTCTCGCGTCTGTGCAGCACGACACACCAGGCCTTCGATGTGGAGGTGCACTGCGCGGATGGGCAGGCGGAACTGGAGATACGGGCGGAACGCGCGCTCAGGGGACCTAGTACTGGCAGAACTTGCGTCGGCGGAACCAACCTCCATTCTATCCCCCCCCTCTCCCCCCCCCTCCCTCCAACAAAATCCCGCTCGGCATGGCCAGACACACACGGCTCAACTGTTCCGCCAGTGCTGAGGGCGACGTCAGGTTGTACAACTGTACGCTCAACTCCGTTTCTTCACGGTGCAAAACGGTAAAGCTTGAGAACCGCTTCCCACCGTGTGGAACTGTCCTCAGCCACGATACAAGAACTGCAAAGGTGCTGAGAAATGTACAACCTGACGTCTCCCTGAAACCCTCTATCCCTGCTGGACTGAGACTACTCGCCGCCAGACATGTTTCGTGTTTGCTTTCCTGCCTCGCTTTCCTTGCTCCTTGTCTTTCTCTTCTCTTCATCACTTCACTCTCATTTCTCCTTGCAGTGTGAGGGTTGCCGTCGCGGTTGAGCAGCAATATATTTTTGTGTAAGCACATCGCAGCACGCCACTCTCCCTAGTATTGTTCATAGACGATTTCTTAATCTACTAGGTTAGCTGTTCGTTTTCGTTTCACAAATCTGACTCTCCAATTCTGTTACCGACTAGGCTCATGGGTCGGTTAAGACCCCAAAGCGTGCTGCTTCTCTCAGTTAGCTGCCTCCTAGTAGCCGTCGCATACGGTATAGTCGACGACCTCGAGCTTTCGCGATGGCACCCAAGCGTTCCCAGACACATGATTCCGAAGCTGAAAGAGAGGCATGCCATGAGGATGAGCATGTCTTCGCGGCCGCGTGCGCCTCGTAAACCATCCTCTGCTAGCAACTTCTGCCATCGACCGAGCGTAAGTAGTCACTACGACCACGCCTTAACCATTTTCTGGTCGTCGTTCTCGGGGCTCTCCCGCAATTCGTTGCTCTAGTAACACCGTCTGCTGTAGATTTTCTACTCCTTTCGGGTTCCATAGACAACCTTCATTCATCAGTCGTTCCATTCCCTCTTCTCAGGCGTTGCTCCGCGTTATTTCGACAAGGTGACATTTATTTCTTAGTAACCGTTTTCCCGCACTTGCTCCTCCACAATGCTTCAATATGCAGTTCACCGTTCCTCGATGCCACTTCTGCCACGGAAAGGCCGACGGCGTCTACGCCGACGCTACCGCTGACCCTCCATGCAGGTATTACCCCTCTCGCGGTAGCGTCAGCCCGATGAAGTTCGTTTACGCAAATGAACTGCAGCACCCAGCACTGCGTGCCTGAAGTTTGATCGTTGTTTAATCGAGCAATCACGTACAACAGTCGCAGTCGACATGGAAGTTGGACCCTCCCTTGGGACCGTTGTTAGGACTTGATTCACATACGTATTTCTTGTAGCACTTATTTTATCGGTCGATGTGAACTGCAAGGAACTGTTTGTTTCAGTGCCTTCACTTCGTAGCTACTCTTTCTTAGCGAGAAGTCATATTGACACATGTGCCGCGTCAGCCAGGTGCACTCTCTGAACTAGTTACTGTTTCACTTTCCACTATATTCGAAAATATTTGTAGTCCTCTCTTCTTCTCTCCGTTGTATATTTCTGCTCTTTTCCGTATCTCTCCCTTCGTCTCCTCTCCCCTCTCTATAGCGCTTACTTGGTGTGCCGGCGGCAGCAGCTGGCCTCCATGAACACCTGCCCCGACGGCACCTACTTCAACCTTGAAACCGCTTCCTGCGGCTCGCTCGAGCGTTCATCCTGCGCCGTTTCCGTCGCGTCCGCCGCCGCCGCTTCCGGTGGAGTCGCTGGGTTTGTTGGCGTTGCACGCGGGGCTGGCGGGCTTGTGGTCGGTACAGAGGAGGAGGTGGAGTTGGAGAGCGTCGGTGACCGTCGGAAGCTGCAGGGATGGGGTAGGTGTTTGTTCTCGCCTTGTTCCTTCCGTCGTCTACTTTCTTCCGCTCGTCACTATGTGGGTCTCACGTGTGTCCTACCTCTTGGCCCTTCTATTATCCGTCGGCCTTGAAGCCTTTGCCGCTTCCCCCTGCTGTTTCAAGTATATTTCTTCTCGCCGTTTTAGTCCGCTCGCCTCGTGTCTCCCGTTTCTTGGTCAGTCCTCCGTTTCCACTCTATCGCAGACTAACTCATTTCCGTTCCTCGCTCGTGTATTTGTTCTGTTATTATTTGCCATGGCAGGTGCCAGGGCTGTTGTCGCGAAGCCACCCCCCAAAGCACCTGCGCCGATTCCGACCAACTGGGTAGAAGTTAACGCCCTCCTTGCTCTCAAGAACAGCAACATCGACGCGTATTACAAACTGAAGAGCTGGATCGTCCCTACTGCTCCGGCACAGCGCCGTAACAATTTCATCTGCGGAAAGTGGTGGGGAGTCAAGTGCAACAAGGGTTCCGTTACCGAGCTAAATCTTGCGGGGTCCGGCCTGGCGGGAGTTCCCAGTGTCGCCATGAACAGTATTCCACCGGAAATCGGCAACCTGACTTCGCTTATCCTTCTCGACATCTCCGGAACACAGAACCGCCTGACGTCTCTTATCGGGGAGATTCCTAAGGAGATCAGCAAGCTGGCGAAACTGCAGACGCTTACGCTTAGTTACAACCGGTTGGTGGGATCCATTCCCGAGGGCATCTCCGCTCTTACCGACCTCACCTCACTGGATCTTACCCAGAATTACATAACGGGCAGTATCCCCAGCGGTCTCGGTAACTTGAAAAACCTCGCCACGGTGAATTTGGGTCTGAACGGGCTGAGCGGACGGATCCCGGAGTCTTTGGGGCAGATGAAGAGCCTTGAGACGCTCAGTCTTCGTGTGAACTCGCTCACGGGGGGGATTCCGGATTCGTTGGCCAACTGCAAGAAGCTTTTATCTTTGGAGGTTAACTACAATCAGCTTTCGGGGCCGCTGCCCGTGTGGTTGAAGGACATCGCATCGTACATCGACCTTGGTTTCAACAATTTCTCGGGTGTCTTTCCTCCCGCATGGAAGGATTTTAAGGGGTACTGGTTCGGGCTTCACGAGGCGGGCAAGTTCGGGCAGCTGCCCGTGAGCATCGTGCAGGCGATGTGCACGAATGTCACTTCCATGGATTTTTCAAATATCTTCACCGGCGGTAAATTGGACGACTGGGATCTCTCGAACTGCGCGGCTCTTTCCATGCTTTATCTCGAGAGGAACAATCTTGTCGGCGACGTTGGGAAGTTCCTGGGAACTGTTCCTGCCTCCTCGTACATCCAGAACATCGTTCTCTCCCAGAACCAGCTCACCGGCGAAATCCCACCACAGATCTTCCTGATTCCGACGCTGGTGCAGTTCGACGCGGACAGCAACCAGCTCACGGGCACCCTGCCGTTGATGCAGTGCACCGGGACACTCGCCAACATGCTTCCGACGGCCCTCAACGTGTCAACGAATCGCATGTCCGGCGTGCTTCCGGAGCGATTCCTGGAGAACTGCAACATGAGCCAAATCGATCTCAGCCACAACCGATTTTCCGGACCTGTTCCCCCTGGGATTGCTCAGAGCCAGTCATTGGCTGTTCTGGATCTGACAAACAATTCCTTCACAGGGG